GGTATTTAGCCTCTTCTCCGTCAGAGAGCTCTGGCGCCACAGCCAACTACAAATCCCAGGATTTTACATAGCACTGAGCCATGGCAGTGGCACAATGCGTCCAACTGGATTGTGGTACGGATTACCTTTAAAATGCAGCAAAGCGGTGTCAAACTGGATTATTCCCGCAATGCGGATGCAGCCGTACGAAGAATAAAAACCTAAACACATTGTCCACAGAGAGGTTTATTTCTGCAGGATGCAACCAGATCCACAGCTGTTCAAGCCTCGTCAAAGTGGATTATTTCTGCAGTGCGGACGCAACCAACCAAGGATGCTCCAGCCTATTTCCTTCCAAACCGATCCAGCGCCTTGCACAGTTCTTAGCCAGTCTGGGCTCAACTCCTAGCAGAGACTCCTAAGTGGCTGTCTGTGGCAGTTCGTACTAGAGTCCGCAACGGGAAACTCACCTCCTTGAGGCCCACGACTCCCACCAGGCGCCCCACGTCGGTCACGTACGCCGTCCGGAGGCTCAGGAGGTTGAAGAGGTCATAGCACTGCAAGGGAAGGGCAGGAAGGGCAGGAAAAGGGGCGCAGGGGAAGGGGGTCCCCCAAAAGGACCCACACTTCCACCATCTACCTCTGTTGCTTTGCGAAAACGGAAAAGGGGCGCACAGCAAGACTCTGCACTCTTCTTGCGCACCTTTCCCAGTGGTTTCCCACTTGTGGTGACCCTCAGGTGAGGCTGAGAGTGTGTGACTCATCCAGGGTTTTCTGAGGAGGTAGGTGGACTTCAGCTCCCAGAAGCCCCGGCCACCTTGGCCAATGGTCAGGGATTCTGGGAGCTGAAGTCCAAAATAATAATAATAATAATAATAATAATACGATTTATTTATATACCGCCTCTCTGGCAGGCCAATCGAGCTGGCGGCAAATACCCAGAGGACCAAAGTTTGGGCATCAATGCTCTCAACCAGTGGTTCTCAACCTTTGCTCTTCCAGGTGTTTTGGACTCCAACTCCCAGAAGCCCCAGCCACTTTAGCCAACAGCCAGGAACTCATGGGAGCTGAAGTCCAAAACACCTAGAGGAACAAAGTTTGGGAATCGTTGCTAGTGGTTCCCAACTTTTAGTCCTCCAGGTGTTTTGGACCTCAACTCCCAGAAGCCCCCAAAAGTCAAGGATTCTGGGAGCTGAAGTCCAAAAGATCTGGAGGACCAAAGTCAGGGAATCACTTTAGTGGTCTCAACCTTTGGCCCTCCAGCTGTTTTGGACTTCAGCTCCCAGAATTCCTGGCTGTTGGCTAAGCTGGCTGGGGCTTCTGGGAGCTGAAGTCCAAAACACCTGGAGGACCAAGGTCTGGGAACCACTAGTAGAGCAAATTTTTTTCTTCCAGATGTTTGGGGCTTCAGCTCCCAGGACTTCAACTCCCAGAAGCCCCAACAGTCAGGAATTTGGGGAGCTGAGGTCCAAAACATCTGGAGGACCAAGGCTTGGGAACCACTGGTCTAGGGCGCCCTTTGGAAAGGCAGATGTGCCCAGATGTGAGCCCCTGGCCCAAGAGAGACTTACCTGGTAGAGGGTCTCCTTGGGCAAGAGTCGGTAAGGCGCCGGATCGGTCGGCACAGTCTCCAAGGGGAGGCTCTCCTGGAGCTGCCGGCATTCCCATTCCTCCACCTGCGGAAAGAGAAGGCTTTGAGACCCGGACCAGACTCCCATCATGCTTTGCTCCAAAGCAAGGGGCATTCTGGGAGCTGCTGGGTGGGCACGTTTCTCAGCTGGGCACCAGTTGTGCCCCCAAACTGGGAAGGGACTCCAATGGACCTGGGAGCTCCCATGGCAGTGCATCCGCTCCGGCATTTAGTCTAAACTTAAAAAGAGCCACTCATGATGCTGATTTATTTATTTATTTGGGAATTTGTGTGAGATAGGGTTCGGTCTAAAACCCAAAGCGGGTTCACATAGTACAGAAGCCACCAGTAAGAGCCCCAGCAGCGCTTGGAAAGCTTCCTGGTTCTGGACTAGAGTTTCCAGCACCCCTTAACGGGGGTGGCCAGTGGATTCTGGAAAGTGTAGTCTAATAATAATTATTATTATTAACACACTGGGCTTCTCAACCCACAGAATCAGAGACATAGAAGGGAACCCCAAAGGTCATCTAAACTGTTCTTTTTTTGGCCAGTGGCAGGAATTGACCGCTAAGGCATCCCCGAGAAAGAGGCAACCATGCAACCTCTGCTTAAAAACCTCCCATTAAGGATTGCCAGGAGAAGCCAGAAGCCACGAATTCGAAACCTCCCTTGCTGGCCATCCCTTCATCTCCCTTCTCTCCTCAGCAGTTCTGGGACCCCCAAATCCCAGTCCCCCATTAAACTCATCCCATGGCAGATTCTCCCTCCCAGCACCCCAAAATCTCAATACCGCACCATGTTTTGGTACCACCGGTGGTCCTTCTTGGGGGAGAGCTGGCCGTCCGCACTCCCTGGAACGGACTTTGAGGCCTGAAATCAGAAAAAGGCACCCAGTAAGCCCAGTTTAAAAGTCCACAGGGGTTGGGGCAGCGGGTGCGAGAGAGGGGTCCCTTGCACACCCCATTGTGCTGCAATGGACCTGAAAGGCCCATCTTTTGTTGTTGTTGTTGTGCGCCTTCAAGTCATTTCCAACTTACAGCAATCCTAAGGCAAACCTATCATGGGTTTTCGTTGGCAAGATTTGTTCAGAGGAGGTTTGTCATGGCCATCTGAGGCCGAGAGAGTGTGACTCATCCAAGTTCAGCCAGTGTTCGAACCCTGGTCTCCAAAGTTCAACACTCAAACCACTACATCACCACAGGGTTTTCTTGGCCAGATTTCCTCAGAGGTTTGTCCCTGCCTTCCTCTGAGGCTGAGAGAGTGTGACCTGCATTAAGTCACCCGGTTGGTTTCCATGGCCAAGCAGGGATTTGAACCCTGGCCTCCCAGAGTCCTGGGCTGCTACTACACTGCATTGGGATTTGTAGTTTGTTGTGGCATCGGATAGAGATGGCTAAATAGCTCACGAAACTACAAATCCCAGAATTCCACACAGCACTGAACCATGGCAGTTAAAGGGGTGCCAAACCGCATTAATTCCTCAGTGCAGATGCATCCCAAGTCCAACCCTGCAGCCACAGCGCCACGTTGGCTATAGCACTTTTTGATCCCACTTTGACTGCCATGGGTTGCATCCTATGGAATCCTGGGATTTATAGTTGTGAGAGGTGCTTAGCCTTCTCCAGCAGGGAGCTCCAGTGCTTTGCCCAACTATGCATCCCAGGATCCAAAGTGCCATAATGGGGGGGGGGGGTATGGAAGAGAGCCAGTCCTCTCTCTGCCCCTGCCACTGACCCCGAGTGACCGGCCACGGCTGACCTTCTCTTGTCCCTTGTCTTCCTCCAAAGGAGACCCGGCTCTCTTGGAAGCGGAGGACTCTTCC